AGGATGGTGCTATAGTGCTTTGAGCCATAGCTCTACTTCTGATTTTCTGGTGGTTCATTGGCAACAAGAATCTTACAGAGTTTCCTTCCCTGGGCTGGCTTCCAACTACAATCCTCAGATCTCAGCCTCCTGAGTAGCTAAGATTACAGGAGTAAGCCACCAGCACCCAGCTCTTATCTCCAATTTTAACCAGCAAAAATCCAGAAGTAGAGTTGTGGCTCAAGTAGTAGAACACTATCCCTGATGGAAAAAAAAAAAAAGCTGAGGGATGGTGTCCAGGCCTTGAGTTCAAGCCCCAGTACTGACATACAACAACAACAACAATAAATGGTATCTTCTTTCCTTTTTAAAATATCCCAGCTGGGCTGGGAAGGTGGCTCAGTGGTAGAGCACTTGCCTTGCATGCATGAGGCCCTGGGTTCGATTCCTCAGCACCACATAAGCAAAAAGAAAAAGCCAGAAGTGGCGCTGTGGCTCAAGTGGTAGAGCGCTAGCCTTGAGCTGAAGAGCTGAGGGACAGCGCCCAGGCCCAGAGTTCAGGCCCCACGACCGGACCCCCCAAAAAAAAATATCCCAGCTGGGCACTGGTAGCTCTCGCAAGTAATCCTAGCTAGTCAGGAGGCTGAGACCTGAGGATCATTGTTCAAAGCTAGGCAGAGCAAGAAAGTCCATGAGATTGTTTTTGCTGTCGTTGGTGGTGGTGGTGGTTGTGGTGGTGGTAGTGGTTGTGAGGCTTGAACTCAGGGCCTGGGCACTATACCTCAGCTCTTTTGTTCAAGGCTGGTGTTCTACCACTTTCAGCCACAGCTCTACTTCTGGTTTTTAAGGAGTTAATTGGAGATAAGAGTCTGAAGGGAACTTTTCTGCCAGAGCTGGCTTTGAACAGTGATCCTCAGATCTCAGCCTTCTGAGCACCTGGGATTATAGGCATGAGCATCAGCACCTGCCCCTGAGACTCTTATCTCCAATTAGCTACCAGAAAACTAGAAGTGGCATTGTGGCTCAAAGTGGTAGAGCACTAACCTTGAGCAAAAGAGGTCAGGGAGCCTGTAGTTCAGGCCTATAATCCTAACTAGTCAGGAGGCTGAGATCTGAGGATTGCAGTTTGAAGCCAGCGTGGGCAGAAAAGTCCCTGTGAGACTCTTATCTCCAATTAACCACTCAAAAAATAGAAGTGGCACTGTGGCTCAAGTGGTAGAGTACTAGCCTTGAGCACAAAGAGGCTCAAGGACGGTGCCCAGGCCCTGAGTTCAAGCCCTACAACTGACCAAAAAAAAAAGTCAGAGACAGTGCCCAGACCCAGAGTTCTAACCCTACAACTGGCAAAAATAAAATTAAAAATAAAAGTAAAGGCACTCTAGATATAGCCATTAATTAATTAGTCTTCCTGTGGGCACCTCACTTGACGCTGCAGTAGACCTGGACAGCTCTGGATGGAATCTAGAGGACAGCAGCGCTGGTTGGGGAGAAATCCGCTGTTAGCCTTAAGGGAAAACTGGGGTGTGCAATTCATTGGTGTACAGGTGTGTGCTGAAAGCAGTTGGGAGTCTGGAGACTATAATAATGTGCTCCACTAGAGGGAGCTGCTAGCGGTGGTATTGGGTAGCCCAGAAATCCATTCTACAAATAGCCATTCTACTGACACTGTCAGACCTGGACAAGGTTAGGTGTTTCCTGAGGTGGATGTCACACCGTGAAGAGCCAGAATGTCACCAGATTTTTTGGATGTGTGTGCCAGTCCTAGGGGCTTGAACTCAGAACCTGGGTACCATCCCTTAGCTTTCCCTCTCAAGGCTAGTGTTCTATCACTTGAGCAACACCTCCTCTTACAGTGTTTTGGAGATAAGAGTCTCATGAACTTTCCTGTCCAGGCTGGCTTTGAACCATTGATCCTCATTACAAGTGTGAGCCACCAGTGCAGGGCTCTTTTATTTATTTTTTTAATTTTATACTCAACTGTTTTGTTTGTCAATGACAGTGTTATGTCCTTTGTTTCTCAGCCTCAAACCTTCTGAATTCTTTTTCTTGCTTTATTACACTGGCTAGGACCTACAGTACAAGTGTAGGTACAGAATTGGGGTCAACTTCCTTTCTTGTTTCCAATCAGTGGCAAAGGATCACACATTCCACCATTAAGCAAAGACCACAGCTACAATGTTTCTGTCTGGTTCTGTTCCTTAGGGATTTGATTTTTTTTGTTTGTTTTTGTTTTTGTCAGTCATAGGGCTTGAACTCTGGGCCTGAGCACTGTCCCTCAGCTCTTCAGCTCAAGGCTAATGCTCTACCTCTGCACCACTTCTGGTTTTCTGGTGGTTTATTGGAGATAAGAGTCTCATGGACTTTCCTGCCCAGGCTGGCTTTGAACCTTGATCTTCAGATCTCAACCTCCTGATGACAAGTTTGAGGCCCCAGTGCTCCCAACTAAGTCTTTTAAGTACTGGATGATTGGTATTTTTGTTGTTGTTGTTGTTGTTTTGGGTTTTTTGTTTTGTTGGTTTTTTTTTCATCTATGGAGAAAGTCCTTTGTTGCTTTCTGTTCAGGGAAGGGAGGAGGGAATCGTACCAAACAGTGAGTTCTTTTTATTTAAATCATTTTTCTTTTGTGCCAGTACTGAGATTTGAACTCAGGGCCTGGGCTCTGTCCCTTCGCTTTATTTTCCCCCCTGTCATAGCTGGTGCTCTATCATTTGAGTCACAGTTCCACGTCCAGCTCTTTAGTGGTTCATTGGAGATGAGTCTCTCAGATTTGTTTGCTTAGGCTGGCTTTGAACATCAATCCTCAAATCCCAGCCTCCTGAGTAGCCAAGATTACAGGTGCTGCCCCCAGGACCCCCCAGCTCTACTTTGTGGCAATCTCAATAACCAGGGCCGGGGACTGCTCCCTCCCCAGCCTGAAGGAGGCTCCTTTAAGAAAACCCACAGCTCCCAGCGTCTCTGGGGCGGGAGGCGGAGGTCGCCAAGAATGTCCAGCTTTGACATTGAGAGCGCAATGCAAAGAGAAGCTTGGCCCAGTGGCCTCTCTCTCTCCCCCAGCGCGTCTACCCATGGGGGCCTCCACACCCCAGTTTCAAAGTCCTCTCCTGCGTGCAAAACTACAGGATCCCATTTCCAAAAGCTCCCGTTCCTGGATCTGACCTCAGCCTTCCTACCATCCCGAACCCCTCCCTTACCCCTGAGGTGGAGGGGGATCCCCCTCCCCAAAAAAATCAGGAAGCTGAGATCTGGGGGGGGGGGGGAGAAGAACCCGGCAGGGCCTCATCCACATGCAGGGGACAGCGTGTCTCGGTGGCCGCCAGGAAGAGACAAAGGCTGTTCCGCTGCCGGCCTTGCCAGCCTGCCATCCCTGGTGGCCCTGACGCTGCCCTCCCCCTTCTGTCCTTAAAGGTTGGGCAGCACAATCCTGGTGGCTTCCTGGAGGAGGCAGTGTATATACACACACACACACACATATAATATGTGTGTGTATACACACACACAAACACACACATACACACACATATATATTTATATGTCCTGGGACTTGAACTTGGGGCCTGGGCACTGTCCCTGAGCTCTTTTACTCAAGGCTAGCATTCTACCACATTGAGCCCCAGCGCCATGTCCGGTTTTCTGATGGTTCACTGGAAATCAGAGTCTCACAGACGTTCCTGCCTGGGCTGGCTTTGAACCACGATCTTCAGGTCTTAGCCTTCTGAGTAGCTGGGATGACAGGAACGAACTTGGTGCCCAGCCCAGGCATCTTCAAGTGTCCTTGGCCACCTGCAGTACAGCAGGGACCGAGCCCAAGCTCCAACTGTGACGTGTGGCCAGGAGTCTGCGGTTGGACCTAAGGGTAGCTTTAAATCAGAGCTGGGTGGGATTGGGGATGGTGGGTGGGGTGGGGGCTGGGTCCTACTTAAATTCATTCCCATGAGGCCCTGGGGCCTCTCTGGATGGGATGAAAAACTCCTAGGTCTTCATCTTGACCTGTCTCCTAGGCCCTTTTTTGTTGTTGTTCGATGCCAGTACTGAGGCTTGAACTCACAGCCCTGTTTTTGTTTTTGTTTTTTGCTCAAGGTTGGTGCTCTACCACTTGAGGCACAGCTCCATTTCTGGCTTTTTGCTGGTTATCTGGAGATAAAGAGTTTCACAGGGCTTTTCGGCCTGAGGGTTGACTTCAAACTGGGATTCTCAGATCTCAGCCTCCTGAGTAGCTGGGATTGCAGGCATGACCACCAGCACTGGGCCTTTGGGAATTGGTTCAGATGACCTCAAGTCAGAAGACTTGAGGGGAGGCCTCGGTGCCCCTCCTACAGCCACACCCCATCCTCACTCCTCACCAGCACCTGGGGACCAGAGAGCCTGGAGAAAGCTTTGTTGTGCTTTGTGTGGTTTGAGCCTGGGACTCCAACTCAGTTCCCCATGCTTTTGCTCCTGGGCTAGTGCTTCACCAACTGAGCCAGGCCTCCAGCCGCAAGAGGTGCTTTATTTCCCTCCTGTAGAACAGACCCAGTCTCCAAGTTCCCTTTCCCCAGCTCATCTGGGGGGCGGGGGGGGGGGGGGGGGGGGGGGGAGGGTCCTCAAAATGTAAGGAGTGTAAGAGCTGGAGCCTAGCGGACACCCCACACAGCTCCTCCTGCTTGAGGACAGGGAGGGAGTGGGGTGTTGGGCCCTGTCCATATCAGACGGGCTGGGGGCCTGGGTAAACCCCAACTCCCTTCCTTCTGGCAATTGGGAAGTTCTTCCTAGATCTGCCCTCTAGTCTTCCTTCCCTTTCCCCAGCCACGGGGAGGTGGGGGAAGTTCCCTTTAAGGGCAGAGAAGGGGGTGGAGGAGGGGGCGGCCGGCCCGCCCTCCTTCCGCCCCTCCCTGGCCCCTGGCCACCTGGGGAGTCCTGGGGGCCCCGGGGCTGGGTGCCAGCACGCATGCGCGCCGTCGGTGGGGCCCGGTCCCCCCCCTCCCTCCCCAGGCCGGGCTGCCAGGGCTCGGGACGAGCGAGGGCCCCGCAGACCGGCAGCCCGTGGGACGGGTCCAGCAGCTCGGGGAGCCGGGACGCGGTGGGACCGCGACATGACTGACCCCAGGAGCGGGCGCGGGACCCCGGGCCCGGGGCCCCGTCCGGGCAGCTCGGAGCGGGTGGCGCTCAAGAAGGAGATCGGGCTGCTGAGCGCCTGCACCATCATCATCGGTGAGCGGGGACCCCCCCCCCCCCCCGACGGGCCGGGCAGGGGGGCCAGGCCGGAGGAGCGGGCCTCCCCCTGGGAGACAGACTGACTGATGGACAGACACACTCACCTGCAGGGTCCCAGCCTGGAAATTAACCCCAGTTAATTTCTTTCTCCTCCATCCCTAGAGTTGAGCCTCAGGCAAAGCAATTGTATTTATTCCAGGGGTTCTGGGGAGCTGGGGCGCTGGGGTGCTGGGTTGATCAGGTGCTGGGGTGCTGGGGAGCTGGGGCGCTGGGGTGCTGGGGTGCTGGGGCGCTGGGGCGCTGGGGTGCTGGGTTGATCAGGTGCTGGGGCGCTGGGGTGCTGGGGTACTGGGGCACTGGGGTTCTGGGGTGCTGGGGTGCTGGGGTGCTGGGGCGCTGGGGTGCTGGGTTGATCAGGTGCTGGGGTGCTGGGGTGCTGGGGCGCTGGGGCGCTGGGGCGCTGGGTTGATCGGGTGCTGGGATGCTGGGGAGCTGGGGTGCTGGGGTGCTGGGGCACTGGGTTGATCGGGTGCTGGGACGCTGGGGCGCTGGGGTGCTGGGGTGCTGGGGCGCTGGGGCACTGGGGTGCTGGGGCGCTGGGTTGATCTGAGGTACTACTGTCACCTATGCCCCGTCCATGTCGCCTGGTACTTGAGCCCTGGTCTGTTTTTGAGAAAGCAGGAAGGATTGTGAGTAGACTGGCCCAGAGAAGGGAAATGGAGTCACAGCTTATAATTCTGGACAAGGAAAGAGGGGCATGAATGAATGACAGAGGATGATCTGTGTCCCCCCCCCACACACACACAGAGGGAGACTCAGCCTGCCCCCCCCCCCACTTCTTACTCAAGTAAAGGTCTCTTGAATCCTGCCTCCTCTCCCAGAAGGGCTTCTGGGTAAACTGAGAATTCAGGTAGCGGCTGGTGGAGGGGGGGGGAGTGGCTCAAGTGGTAGAGCGCCAGCCCAGAGTGGAAAAAGCCAAGTGTGAGGGTGAGGTCCTGACTCCAAGACCCAGTACAGGAGGGAAGGGTGAAAAGAAAGGAGAGAGAGGGCTGGGAAGGTGGCTCAGTGGTAGAGCGCTTGCCTTGCATGCCTGAGGCCCTGGGTTCGATTCCTCAGCACCACATAAGCCAAAAGAAAAAAAAGGAGAGAGAGGGAGAGAGAAACAAGCCCGTGCCAGGCACCAGTAGCTATATCTATAATCCAAGCTACTCAAGAGGCTGAGATCTGAGGATCACCGTTCAAAGTCAACTGGGCAAGAAAATCTGTAAGACTCATCACCATGTAAGCACCAAAAAAGCTGGAGGTGGAGCTGTGGCTCAAGTGGTAATATGCTGGCCTTGAGCACCCAGGCCTTGACTTCAAGCCCCAGGGGAGAAAGAGAGGAAGGGAAGAAGGAAGGAAGGAAGGAAGGAAGGTTGGTTTAGTGCAGGTAGCTCACGCCTGTCATCCTAGCTACTCAAGAAACTGAGATCCGAGCATCACAGTTTGAAGCCAGCTCCGGCAGGAAAACCTGTGAGATTTTTATCTCCAAATAACTACCGAAAAAGCCAGAAGTGGAGCTATGGCTCAAGTGGTAGAACGTTAGCCTTAAGCAGACAAAGCTCTGAGGCAGAGCTCAAGACCTGAACTCAAGCCCCAGCACCAACACACGCGTAAGAATGAATGAACCATAGTGAGAATTTTCTCCTTCTGCCCCAAGTTCATGAATACTGATTTGTGGGGAATTTGGATTAAGGGAAGGAGCCACAGGGCAGGCCTGGGGCTCCTCCTCTTTCTCTGCCTTCATCCTGGAAGCTCCTAGACCAACCCTGCAGTGTGGATCCTTCATTCCCGGGCAGACTTGAACACACCCACCTCAGATTTGCCCCTGAATGCCCTCCCCCCAGAAGAGCCTTCCTTCTCTGCTTCATTCCCTTCCCCTTGGCATGCCATCTCCCAGGAGTTCATCTCACTCTGGCTCTGGAAGCTTCCTGGCCTGGCTGTCTCTGCCTTAACTGGATTCTAGAAGGAAGGTCTGGCTGGAACTTCACTCTAGGCCCCACACTCTTCTCCAGAGAGTTGTCTCCCAGGAAGAAGAAGGAAGCTTCTGCATCATGAGTCAGCCAAGTAGTCAAGAGACTGACTGTAGCCCAGGCAGGTGCAGGAGAAGAAATAGCTCCTCTCCAGCTGCCTTAATGAAAACTAGTATGTTCACTCTCCCCCTCATCTTCCTCAGCTTACGCAGAGGCTGCCAGGCTTCCGGCCCTTTAGTAAAAGTCCCTGGTGGTGGTTTGCTTACAGTCCCGCCCCCCCCCCCGCCCCCCCCTCTGACTCTTCAGTCTCCTCTTGCTTCACCCTTTCCCCTTGGCCTCCAGAACTTGAAGGCTGAGCTAGGGTGAAGGGTGATTATGTCCACACAGAGAAGCAGAGTTCAAATGACACCCACCCTCCTCCCAGCTGCCCCCCTCCCTCCACAGGCTTAGGGAATGCTGAGGTTGGAGAACTGTGGGGGAGGTTACAGCAAGAAGAAGTTGGATTGGACAGTAGGGGAATGCGGGGGGGGGGGGGGGGTGATCTTCAATTAGGTGACAGAGATGGGAGCCAGATCTGTTCTGTCTCCCCATCCCCCCAAAACAACTCCTCCCAAATGAGCTCTGAGCTCATTTCCCCCTGCCCCTCCCCCGCCCCATGCCACCTTGGCAGTTAGTGCCTACAAAGTACAGTAATGTTCAGTGTGTGTGTGTGTGTGTGTGTGTGTGTGTGTGTGTGTGTGTGTGTGTGTGTGTGCTGGGACTTGAACTCAGGGCCTGGGATACTCTCCCTTACCTTTTCTCACTCAAGGCTGGTGCTCTACCTCTTGAGCCACTCCTCCAGGTTTTTTGGTGATTCGTTGGAGATAGGAGTTTTATGGACTTTCCTACCCAGGCTGGCTTTGAGCCAGGATCTTCAGATCTCAGCCTCCTGAGTGCTTAGGATGTCAGGTGTGAACCACCAGCACCTGGCCCTCTCATTACAAATTTTAAGAACAATTTCCCTGTAATCTAGCTTTGTGTCTTGCCACTTGCACTCGCTGGATTTGTTCTATCCAAAACTTCTAAGCACGTCCTCTCAGAAGCTTGTAATAATTTGTGCCTGTCCCATCTTAAGAAAGATGGAGCTTTCCAGAAAAGAGAGATGGCAGGGCAGGCTACAGGCAGGAATAAGACTCCATCCAAAATGCATTTACACAGTACTAGCTTCCAAAACAAGCAAGATTCTTTTTTTTTTTTTTTGCCAGTCCTGGGGCTTGAACTCAGGGCCTAGACACTGTCCCTGAGCTTCTTTTTGCTCAAGGCTAGCACTCTACCAGTTGAGCCACAGCGCCACTTCTGGCCTTTTCTGTTTTTGTGGTACTGAGGAATCGAACCCAGGGCTTCATGCATGCTAGGCAAGCATTCCACCACTAAGCCACATTCCCAGCCTGCAAGATTCTTTTATCTTCAATTAACCAGCCAAAAAATACCAAAAGTGGAGGTATGGCTCAAGTGGTAGAGCACCAGCCTTAAGTAGAAAAAGCTAAGGGACAGTGCCCAGGCCCTGAGTTCAAGTCCCAGTAGGAACATGAAAAAGAAGTCGGGTACCCATGGCTCACACCTGTAATCCTAGCTACTCAGGAGGCTGAGATCTGAGGGTTGAGGTTCAAAGCCAGCCCAGGCAGGAAAGTCCATGAGACTCTTATCTCCAGTTAACCACCAAAACACTGCTACTGTAGCTCAAAGTGGTAGAATGCTAGCTTTGAGCTGAAGAGCTTAGGCAGAGACAGCACCCAGGACCAAAGTTCAAGCCCCACGACCGACAGAGAGGGGGGGGATGGGGGGAGAGGAAGAGGGAGATAAAGAGCAGGATGCTGGTGGCTCATGCCTTGTGATTGATCCTAACTAATCACGAGACGGAGACTTGAGGATTGTGGTTCAAAGCCAGCCCAGACAGGAAAATCCATGAGACTCCTGTCTCCCGTGAACCACCTAAAAATCAGAAGTGGAGCTTGGTTTTATCTCATTTGATTCTCCGCTAGCACCTGGAAGATGGGAAAAATGTACCCATTACACAGGTGCAGCAACTAAGGTTGGAAGTTAAATAACACCCTTGGCAGTGGTGGGCTTACGATTTGGGACTCCATTCAGATTCAAGTTTCTGTGCAGTTCCCTTCACCCTGCTCTGATGCTGAACCAAATTGGGGCCCAATTCAGAGAGGCCTTGATTGGGGGGCGGGGGGAAAGGGGAGAGGATGGAAGGCTGAGGACCCCAGCCAACCGGAGTAGACTCCAATATGGGAGTATGAATAAACAGACAGCTAGAGACATGGACTTTGCAAGCCATGTAAATAGAAAGGTTTCTAGGGGTTGGAGGGTTGTCTGAGTTAGTAGAGCACCAGCCAATGAGCAAAAGGGTCAGGTACCAACTTTGAGTCCCCATCTCAAAACAATCCCAAAAAAGGCTTCTCAAACTGACTTGGGGCCTGGGGCCGGTGGCTCATGCCTGTAATCTGAGCTACTCAGGAGGCTGAGATCTGAGGATTGTAGCCCAGACAGAAAAGTCCCCATGAAACTCTTATCTCCAGTGAACCACTCAAAACATGGAAGTGGAACTGTGGCTCAAGTGGTAGAGCTTTAGCCTTGAGCACAAAGAGGCTCAGGGACAGCACCTAGGTCCTGAGGTCAACCAACAAAACCAAAAAAGAAACCTTGCCCGGCACCGGTGGCTCATACCTGTAATCCTAGCTACTGAGGAGGCTGAGATCTGAGGATCACAGTTCAAAGCCAGCCCAGGCAGGAAAGACTGTGAGACTCTTATCTCCAATAAACCACTCAGAAAACTGGAAGAGATACAGTGGTTAAAGTGGTAGAGCTCTAGGCTTGAGCTGAGGAGCTGAGGGACAGCGCCCAGGCCCAGAGTTCAGTCCCCACAAATGACAAAACAAAACAAAACAAAAACTGACTTGGGGATCTCAGCCATCTGCCACGCAGGCATCATAAGTA